TGTGTGGTAGGGGAGGGATGAGCACTCTCCAGACTGAGGGCCATAGGCACCACATTAGAACCTTATTGTGTTATTAAACCCTCACCCCCATCCTCTCAGGTGAGTTGTACATCAGCTGCCTCCCCTTCGGTTAAAGGTGCCGCCCCTTCTGGGGATCGAAGCATTTTCTAGGGCCAGTGCACTGACTGCACCAAGGGAATCAGGCAGTAGAGTCAGAAGACAGTCTGAGAAAGAGATGTTTATTTTTATGTTTTGATGCAGGAGTCCTCTGCATACCCTGCAGACCCATCTCTTAAGTATTTATGTCCTTGACCTGCGGCTATGTTCAGCTCTAGCTGTGCCTTTCCTGGCTTTGCCAGCCTCCTCCGGCCCTCCTGGTCCCCTGCCTTCCAGTTCCCAAAGCCAGCCCCCTCCTTCCTCCCAGAACAGCCAGCCTGCTGGGCCTCTCATCGATCCCCTCTCCTACATCCTGAGAGAGACTAATAGGTTCCCCAGGTTCCTCTTAGCCTCAGCCTTGGCAGGAGACCTGCTGCTGAGCCTGAGCCTCTCAGGGGAGGAGGGGTTGGGGTGGATGTGTGTGTGGGGTGCTGTAAGAATGCAGATTTTAACCCCTGGTGGCCACTACCCCTGGTAAACCCCTTGGTTCCGTTAAACAGAGATGAGGAGAATGACAGTTGGAAAAGGTCAAACTGCACTGAGACTCCTTATAGTCTTAATATGGCTAAACAATGCACTCTCATCTGCAAATCCCTTCCTCTGTCTTTCAATTAAAAACATATCCTCTTTTGATTCACAGAATTAGAGAATCTCTGGGCTAGAAAGACATCAGTGTTTTTCTAATTCAACTTTCCACCCACTGGTTTAATTTCCTCTACAATAATCCTCAAGAGGGGCTTCAGTCTCTACTTGTCTATTTCCAGTTTTAGGGACCTCACTACTTCACTTGCAGTCCACTGCATCTTTAACAGCTCAAGCAGAAGGGTTTTTTCAATGCTGAGGTGAAGTCTGTTTCCCTGTGACTCCCATGCACTCATTGTTTCTGGCCTTTGTCCTTGAGGCTGCCAAGGACAGGTCTGCCTTGGGACTGTTCTTCCCATGCTTCCTTGGGCCAGCACCCCTTCCTTCAGCTCTCCCCTAGTGATAAGATGACAGCCCCCACTTGGCGCTGTTGCTCCCCTGGTGAGTTAGGATGCAGTGTCTCTTTATTCCCTCATAGTCTCTAGTTTTAGTCCAAGAAATCACTGTGCACCCTGCCTGTACTGGTAATGTGCAGAGATGTTCAAAACTGTGAAATTATATGTGTATCAATCACACACAAATAATACATATAAAGGTCTACAAATGGTTCCCAATTTGTGATGGTTTGACTTACAGTTTTTCCACTTTACCCTGCAAGAGTGATCTATATTCAGTAGAAAACAGACTTGGAATTTTGCATTTGGATCTTTTCCATGGCTAGCAATATGCAGCCCAGTACTCTCTTTCAACACTGGGAGTGGCAACAAGTCACAACCTCTAGCCAGTCATATGATCATGAGGGGAAAATCCCCATACTCTATGGTGTGCAGTAGGTTAGGTGCATTGAATGCATTTTCAGCTTACAATATTTTCTACCTACAGTGGGTTTATCAAGACACAACCCCACGGTAAATTGAGAAGCATCACATATTATTAAATATTTCATGTGGTTTATAACCAAGGACTGTATTTTGGGGGTTGGGTATAAATCCTGTAAGAACTAGAAAAGTGAGACGTGGGTAAAGACTGGAGAAGGGAAAGTCATTTTCAGGGGGGAGAGGGGGTTGGGGGTGAATAGGAAACAGGATTTGTCAAGCCCCTTCTAGGTGACAGATGCCGTTTAACACCCCTTCAATAACCAGGTAATATAGTCATTCTGATTTCACAGACATGGACACTGAGTTGCTGTGTTATCACATTTCCTGCCTGGTGATGCTGGAGTTGCATCTGTGCTCTTTTTTGTTGCTCCAAGTGCTTCCAGGTTGGGAAGAGGAATGACTCTCCGATAGAGATTCTGGGTGGGCTGCACACCTTCCCCAGGACTGGCTGCTCTTCTCTCCTGCCGTCCCCACCCTGCCTCTCTGCACACACAGGATGCTAGATAGGATGGAAGACTATGCTGTTCTTGTTTAAAGGGCAACAGAGCACCCCAAGAAAGTAGCAGGCTGGGGACTGATTGGAGCACAGTCTCCAGTATATCAGATATCTGAGGGGCTCCCTTCCCCTGGAAGCTCAGCACACCTGCCAGTTTTTAAGGATAAAAGATCCCTGGGCTGCCTTTGTCAGTCATCACCATACTGTGCATAATCTTGCTGTCTTCCCATGGGATTCCTTGAATGGTCCTACTGAATTTCATTGCCAGTTTAAAGAATCCCAGGGGTTTTACCCTCATTCTCAGCCAGGTTCCACAGACTCTCCACACTATATACCAGGACTATTCACCGCACCACCCCTCCCTTGTTTACCCCTTCCAGGTGTGACACTGCCTTACACCAGCATGTCCATGAGATGGCAGAAACACTGTGGCTCCAGGAACACTAGCTTTGTGGCCTCTCCTGGCCTCCTCTGGTGTCTTTTGGGTCTGGCCCTCAGACCTTTGTCCAAGCAGGAGTTTCCTTTTGACATCATCTCTGCGGAAAATGCAGTAAATACTCTCTTAATATAGGACAAAGTGAGGTGGCACCATAGAAAACCAAACACATCAGGCTGCCAAACAAAATAGGAATGTGATTTGAACTTTGCTGTGAACTTAGCTGTTCATGCAAGGACTCCAAGTTCCTGAGGGAAGGAACTGAGTGAATCTGGTCCATCTACTCTGTCTGCTGCCTGCCCTGGCATTCAAGATAGATCAATGAGTGTGGATTGAGCAGACATTGGAGAAGGCTGCCTCCCTAGGCCTGCCTTACAGCCGTTATGAGGATAAGTAAATACAGGCCCAATAACACGGAGACAGCCTGACCCACTTCCCAGCACGTTTCCCATGGTCTCTTGGGTTTTCACCCTCTTATACCTATTTCACAGATGAAAAATGGAGCATCAAAGTGGTTAGATGGCCTCTCAAGATCTTGTAGTATGTGAGGGCTGACCCTAAGCTTGAATCCAGATCTTCTGGGTCAGGGTTGGCAGGAAATGTCCAAGGCATCAGGGTTACTACAGATGGGGTCCTGTAAGGAGGAGCCTTAGAGGCACAGAGGTGAGCATTACAAGTCTCTGCAGAGGTACTGCCTGGGACAGAGGAAAGGCCAACTCCATGTCCTGGCTTACACAGCGTGGCTGTTTTATGTAGCCTGTGTAAAGAACAGGCCCTCCAGGGCTTCTTCCCTCCCTCCACAACTGCCAGCCCCCTGGAAAGGTTTCTCAAAACAGTGCAGGAGGGTCAGAGTTCTTTCCTGTCTCCATCTTGCCAGGCCCTTGGTCTTCAACTCTGGTCCTTCTTGTTAAAACGAAACAACAAACCCCACCAAATATAAGCTTTCCTTCCCTAAGTCCTCAGATATATGTCACTGGGCCTCTGAAGTCACTATGCCTGTTGCCTCCTGCTCAGTTTGTCCCTAGAGACAACATGGTGTCCTGGAAAGAGAGTTGGACGAAGATCAGAAAATGCAAATTCTGGTGCCTGCTGGGTCCTTGTGTCACTGGGTAGCCAGGCAAGTCATGTCACCTCTCTGTAACTAGAGGAGGCAGGTGGATGTTCTTCAGTACCCCCAGTTATTTTCTGATCTTTGAGAGTCAGAAGGATGCAGAGAAAGCCTCTAGGTTCTGTTCAAAACACCTTTGAATTGGGGATCCTATTGGTCAGTACAGAAACTGACAGCCTAGGAACTTTGGACCAGTTGGAAACCAAGCTTCATCCCACCATCCACAGTATGTATGGTGAGTTACTCACCTCCCTAGCTCCCATCCTTCTCCTAATTCTGGGGGCTTTAGTACTTTATAGAACTGTTGCAAAGATTTACATGAGATAAGCCATGTAAAAATTTTAGCACATTAGCTGGAACATAACAAGGGTTTGATAAATGTTACTCATGTCATTGCTTTGGGAGCAAATGTCTACCAGTCTCCTTTCATCAGAGTTGAGGCCACTGCTTTCCTGGAAGGTGACCCTTCAGACACACACACACACACACACACACACACACACACACACACCCTCCCCAGCCTGCCTTCCCACTACCAGGGTCGCATGAAGACCCTCTTATCTAGGTGGCATCATTCAAGGCTCACTCCTACCACAGCTTCCAGGCAGCAAGTAGCAGGAGATGGAGGAGGGGAGGGAGAGCATGCTTAGCTTTAGTGGATAGTCTCTTTTTTTCATTCTTCTCTGGCCCAGGAGTCTTGCCTACTGGAGTGTAGCTGAAAACCTGTTCTTTTATAATCATAATAATAACTCCTCTTAATTCGGCCATGAGGCTCTGAGGAGTTCAAAGCATTTACTAGACCTGTTTTCTGAGCTTTGGAATCTTGAGGGAACTTCTCCCTCACCTCTAAAATGAAAACAAAGACTTTTCTAGAGCCTGATAGAACATTTTTGTAGGTTTACTAAATGCTTTGCATGCTGCCTCATTTAATGCTCACACATCCCTGACAGCTACAGCTGTTAAAGTCCTCACTTAGATGGGGAAACTAAGGCCCTGTGAACAGGTCATGGAGGTAGGGAGAGACCTGGATGTGGTGGCCTCTGAACCCAGTTCTTGGCCTCTAGGTGCACTGTGGGGACTGCTTTGCCTCACCAGGGAAGCCTCAAGTTCTTCTTTAAAAGGGAAACCCCCAGGGAATCGGGCAAGGACAGGTTCTTTTAGTGTAGATGGGAGAACTACAGGATTTCCCAGGAGGCCAGGAACCCTGCTCAGGTTAAGTTAGGGCTCCTCAGCTCTGTCTGAGGCCATGGCACCAGCCTCATGGATGTGCATCCTGTTTGGTCCCAGTGTGTGTTGAGGCAGCACTGCGGACCCTCAGGCACTTCCTCCTCTCTCCCCCTCCAGGCCTTTTAAACCTAGAGAAGCTGCTCCGGCAATTCCTTATCTCCAAGGATACACTCTCCGTCAGGATGCTGGATGACACCCGGGACCCCACCCCACTCCTCAAGGAGATCCGGGACGACAAAACAGCCACCATCATCATCCATGCCAACGCCTCCATGTCCCACACTATTCTCCTGAAGGTGGGACTTGGGCCAGGGGTGGGTGCTGGTGGGTATGGAGCATCTTCTCTCCCCTTCCTCCTTGCTGCAAGCAACTCTGAGCCAGGTCTGTCCTCAGCCCTGGGCAGGATCTGAACCCTGACCAACCTCTCTCTCCCTATGTTTCCTAGTAGATCTTGCATGCCAGATGCTATAGAAGCAGCTACATATATTGGCAACCAGGGCGGTTGCACCAGTGTATTTCTATCAGCCCTGTATTTAACCCCGACGCTGTGTTCAGCAGTTTATAAAGTGCTTCTCTGTCATTTCCCACAATAGTTCTCTCAATGATCAAAAGAGATAGGTAGGCCATCTGCATTCTACAGATGAAGAAACTGAAGCTCTGGGAGATTAGCATATTTGTCCAAGGCAAGCTCTGTGAGAAGTGAAGCCTGTGCAGCTCTCCATCTGCAAGTCAGGCAATTTCTCCAGTGCTCCAGATGTCAGCCTGGAGTGCCAGCCTGGAGTCGGGACAGATATACTTCTAAACTAGAATGCTGAGTGAAGCTTGGTGGGTTGGAGAGTGAGAGATGCCTGGCTACACTCTGGACAAACCCCTGGAAACAGCTGGGCAATGGGGGAGTTTCTTGGCTGGGCTGGTGGCTGGGCTGGACATGCCTCCTCAGAGACAGCAAGCTCTGCTTCTGGGCTGTTCCCTGGGTCCTCAGGAGCTCCCTCAACCTCTCAGACACACTGGCTTCTTCCAATGCCACTTCAAACACATTTAAACACAACATGCTGTCTTCCACTGGGTGAGCAAGCTCCTCCTAGTTAACCTCTGCCAAACTGGGCGGAGCCTGGTAGACACTCCTATGATTGTCTCTTCCTCTCCCTCCCTCTCTTCCTCCTTTCTCCCCATCTTCCCAGTCTCTGCTAGTTTTTGCTGAGAGTTAGTAAGTAATTTGAATGAATTCTCTCAGTACAGAGAGCTGTCCCTTCAGCCTGTTGCTATAGTAATTTTCCACAGCCACATCTGTCTGCATGTATACCCAACTCACAGCCACACCCAGCTATCTCCACACACACCTCAAATGCACCATTTCTCTCTTTTCTTCCATTTTTCTCTGTCTTCCCTTATGTCTGGAGCGATCATCAATTAAGTTATTAAGGATGGAAAAGTTCCTCTAGGTTTCAGGTTCCTTGGGGAAGGTAGCTCCGAGTAGGGAGTGAGAGTTTCAGCTTAATAGATATAGATAAAAGTCCCTTTCTTCCACCTTGCAAAGGGCAGTAGCTGAAGTTTGCCTGAACAGCCCCCAGGTGAGAGCCTTGGGGATCAGCTCCTTTCACAGGATTATTCCATGACTCCTTGCATATGAAGTTGGGTTCTCCCACCCCAATAATGTGACTATTTGTTAAAATTTTTGAAAGCACAAAAAGGCACATGGAAGAAAATGAGTGTTAGTCACAATCCCATCACCCAGAGTTAACCACTTAAATTTTGATGTCTAGCCTTTCTGCTTCTGATATCTTTCCCCCCAAATTATTTCTACCCCAAACAAACTATTTGGTAAATTGCTTTTTTTTTCTCATGTAATTATTTGCCATGCATTTTCTTCCTGTCATTTAATATTTGTCTACAAATATTTTAATAGCTGCATCATTTTCTATCATATAGATGCCGCATGATTTACTTAACCAACCCTTTTATTGTTGGAGAAACAGGTTGTTTCCAATCTTTTGCTGTAATAGACAGTGCTGGGATGCATATCTTTGTACATAAATCTTTATCCACATTCATGAATATTTCCTTGGTATAAATTCTGAGTTAAAGGTATGCATACTTGTAAGGATTTGTGGATGATTTGCCAGATTGCCTTCTAGAAATCAGCCACAGTTTATACTAATAGCAGCAGCATATAGGTATCTTATTGCACCCTTGCCAATACTGAGAATTTCCATTAGAAATGTTTTATGGGTTTTGTTGTTATTGTTGTTGTTTCTTTTTCTTATCTTCTTTTGTTTTTTGTGGCTCGAAGGAAACTGCTTTGAAGGAAACTCTTCCTGTAATGACCCTCACTATGGAACAGTTCTGCTGGGTACCCTATGGCCATCTTTCCTGAGCCCCCTCTCTGCCCCCAGCTCCTGAGTCTTTGGAGCCAAACTGATCAATGAGCTGCAAAGCTTCAGCAAAGCCCCATCTCTGTTCCTGTCTGACATCCTAGTAGCCCCAGGCAGGTAGACCCCCCAGCAGGCTTGGCCTCTCCCCAGGCTTCCCTAGGGCTCAATGTTCCTCCCCCCAGAGGGCCCCTGAGGCCTTGGGGCCTCCTCAAGGTTAGACTTAGTGTGGGAAACAGAGTGTGCAGACTGAACAGGGGCTTCTGAGAGCCCTGTGCACACGTGGGCATCAGGCCCTAGAGCTTGGCAGCCCTCTTCCATCTCACAATTTCAGGAAGGTTTATGGAGTAATCCCCTACTTTATTGAGCGGCTGTTCCTGCAATGAACTCCATGTTTACTCAGAACTCAGGTCTTAAAAATCAGGAATCTCTTGTCTTTCATCTCTAGGACAGGAGATTTCACAAAATGGATTTTAACTATTGTGCTCCCTCCCAGTCCCCTACCCCAACCCCACCCCTGCATCAGTGGGCTCTCGTGGATCTAGGCACTGTGAGAGGCAGCTGCCCTCTCTATGGACAGTGTGTGTTGGCGGGCGGTGGGGGGGGGGTCAGGCAGGCCTCCTGCTATATCTCCCTCTTGCTTAGAGGGAGAAGGAGCCTCACTACAGAAGCTTTGTCCCCTGGGTGATCTTGTCCTTGTCACTAAGCCCTTCTGCACTTCAGCTGCCCATGGGATACAGTAATATAATCCCTAGCCTGTTTCTCAAAGAGCCTAGACGGGGTCCTAGAAGAGTGTTCACAATGTTTAGTTCTTTTTGAGATAAACTCTATGTAAGAGGAAATGCAATCATCCCTGGTCTTGTTTCTCTCCCATCCACCTCAGCAGTCATGACAAGAACGGTCTCCCAGTGGCCTGGAGCTGCTGGATATATTATGAAAATCTAACCCACTGTCAGATGGGATGAGGGCCCTGGAGAGAGCTGGCTCATTATTTACCTAATCTACTTGTCAGTTTCTGTAGCACTTGTCACATTCAAAGCTGGGCACACTGACAGGGAAGGTTGGTCAGGGGTATTTATGATAGGTACAGAGATCAGACAAAAAGGATCCTCTTCTGAAGCCCCAGTTCTCAACTGTGCTCCTGTGCTGTGATCAAAGGTGAAGCATGTCACAGGCGACTTGCTCTTCATTACAAGTGTAGGACCAAAGTTTGCAAATGATTCACTTATTTCCTGTATTACTGCAAATTCAGAATGAATCTATCTGCATCCTCATGGGTGGAGTTCACTTGGGGATTGCCTATAACCCACAGACTCTTTTATCTATGCCATGTCCCTAAGAGGGTGTGTGTACAGTTCCACTGATACCATAGTCCTCAAGGAGAGTATAGTGTGGTTAAAAGCACTGAGAGTAGGCTGCTGGCTTTTATTTCATCTTTTCATCAACCAGTATGACTCATGTGACCTTGTGTAAGGCACTAAGCCAGTTGTCTTGTCAGCTTTGTCTGTTGTAAAATGAGAATGGAGGAAGAATAATAGTGTCTACTTCATATGGTTAATTCAGGTAGAATGCTTTATAGAGCCTGGTACACACTGCACAGTGGATAAATGCTAGTCATTGATATTGTTTGTTAATAGTTGTGGAAATAATTAAGTCTGTTTTCTTATTTACTTCATTTCTCTTGAAGCCATTTTGGTTCCCATAATATCCATTATGCCCATGGGACTGTGTTGCACATGAGAACATCAGCTACTGTGAGTGTCAACACAGGGGTAGGGAGTAGGGTGGAAATGGAGAGATCTGCTCTAGAGACCAGTGTTTCTGTGCTCCACCCTCCAAGATCAAGGGCAGCATAAGACTCATCTAAGGTGTCCTGTTCTGCCTGTTGATGAAGTGGTAGGCCAGAAAGACTGTAGCCCTTTGGAGCCCTCACTGGTCTTTTGGTGCCAGTTTGTTTTTGTTATCTACTATAATCTCTTTCTCTTCACTTTGCAGGCAGCTGAACTAGGGATGGTATCAGCCTATTACACATACATCTTCACTAATCTGGTAAGACATTTTCGTGGCTTGCTTCCTTGGTATAGAGTGTGGTCAGTGGTCAGGGTTAGTGGATTATGATGAGATGAAGCCCAGAACATAGGGTGTGGGAAAATAGAGGCAGAGGAGCAGAATCCAACCAAAAACCAGTCATCCTGTGAACATATGGATCCTCAAGCTCGCTGGGATTCACGTGCCAACAATTCCTTAGAAGAATGGGAATTTGGGCATTCTAATGCTTCTATTCAAAGGCCACTAGATATATAGCATAGATTCTTCTGGACAGTAGAATGATGGATGAGCCTCCTCAGTAGGTCCAGTTAGTGGCTTGGAGTCTGACTTCTAACTCACCAAAGCTCCATTCATGATAACTCAAATGTAGGGAAGCCAGGGTATAAGAAGTATGCATGCCTTATGATGTTTTAACTGGACACACATCTGGAAGCCACATCTTAGTCATATTCCCTTATTTTGCAGTTGAGAAAGCTAAGATCTATAGACATTTTATTGAATCAGGTTTAAATACTAACTTTGCCAAATACCAACCATGTGCCCTTCAGTGAACCACTGAGTTTTGGTGTCTTTATCTGTTAAATGGGGATATGAACAGTTACATAATTGAGCTGATTTTGAAATGATGTGATTTTTAATCTGCATGGAAGCATTATGAAATTGTAAAGCATTAAATGTGAAAGCTATTGTGACATACAGACAGTCAAGTAGAGAGTAGGAATGACCTCAGAAAATAAGCTTTTAAAAATGTATATCTTTTTATTTTGGAATACTTAGACAATTCCTAGGAAGTTGCAGAGATAGTCCTGTGTACTCTAAACCCAGTTTCCTCCAAAAGCTACATCATATGGAATTACAGTGCAGCGTAACACCCAGGACATCACAACATCAGATCCATTAGAACACAGATCTGTGTACCTCTTCATCCAAGGCACACAACTGTTTCATCACCGCAGAGGCCTTCTTCATTCCACCATTTTATAGTCACGCCTGCTGGCCTCTTCCCCACCATCCCCGGTCCTTAACAGCCACTAGGTTCTATAATTTTATAATTTTGAGAATGTTATATAAGTGAAATCATACAGTGTATGACCCGAGGTTGGCTTTTTCCCCCTACTCTGTGTAATGCCCTTGAGATCTACCCAAGTTACTGCATTTTTATCGATGAGCAGTGTTTCTTGGTACCTGTGTGCTGTTTGTTCAACCATTAACCAAATGAGAGACATTTTTGTTGTCTCCAATTATGGGTTATTACAAACAGTGCTGTTCCACATGGTCATCCAGTGAAGAGGTTTATTTTATTTTATAAATGGCTCAAGCAGGTGATCCCTTCATCCAGATGTGCTTTTGAGCACCTGCTGTGTACCAGGTACTGATCTGGGCTTAAGATGGGAATAATAAGAAAGTCATCCCCCTTTGCTTCAACTTGAATATACATGGCTAATTTCCTACCACAAGACTGCTAGTGTACTAGTTGGGATTGTTTATTGAAGTCTAGCAACGCATATAGAAGATGCGTATATTGTATGTGCACAGTGCAAACAAAGAACTTTCTCCAAGGGGTCACACTCACATCCAGTAATAAAACATCGTCAGTAGCCCCCTCACACCCTTTACAATGTGAAACAGAGTGAATGTCTTTGTTTACTGGTTGTTTTTTTTTCTATCTACCGCTGCTGCTGTAAATCAAAGCATTAACATGTAAAAGAAGAGGAAAAGATTAGGCTATTCCCAGAGCAATGCAAAAGCATTTGCCTAAAGTAAGGAGGCATCTGGGGCAGCCTGGGCAAGTTGGCAGAAGAGTAAAGAGAGATTAAAGTACAGTTGGGCTCCATTTAGGAAGCCTGTGAGAGGGAGGGAGGAGGGACAAAAGGCAGACTAGGGGCAGCCTGCACCACACTAGCCTCCTGGGGAGGCTCCCTGCCTTAGGGAGTGAAATCAGCAGACAAGGGAGGAGCTGGGTGGCCAGGAGTCACAAAGAATTTACCAGATGGAAAGAGGGGGGCCAGTCATTCAGAATATGGGTTTCAGGGACAATAATCAGAACTCAGATGGACATGCTTGGCTTGGAGATTTTAAGGAGGCAGCATTATACACACTGCAGGTCACTGTTCTCCCTGTCAGAAATAAGAATGGTGGTGATGATGTTAAGTAGTAGAAAAAGCACTGGCCTGGGAAAAGCACGGCACCCATGGTTCAGTTCCCACTCTGCCTCATACTCAACTGTGAGACTTTGGGTGAGTCATATGGATTCTCAGAGTCCCCGTTTTCTCATTTTAAAAACAGGAATAACAAAACCCACTCCATTATTATGGGGATTAACCACAGTTTTCTACGTAAAAATTCATTGTCAGTTGTGCATGGTGGAACATGCCTGTAATTCCACCACTCTAGGAGGTTGAGGCAGGACCATCACAAGTTTGAGCCCAGTCTGGGCAACTTATCCTGGGCAACTGAGACCCTGTCTCAAAAAGTGGGGGGCAAGGACTGGGGATGTAGGTTAGTGTAAAGACTCTGGGTTCAATCTCTAGCACCATTAAAAATTAAAAATTGTTGTAAACCTCAAAGTGCTATACGTTTCCAAGGCATTGTATTTTTTTTTTTAACACAACACCACAATAGTTTCAGTTTTCAGTTTTTGAAGAGCTTGCCTCCTTTTCAGGTGGGTACAGAATGGGAATTGCTCTGGGAGCATGCCTCAGTCAGAGTTTTTTGAACCTGGAATTAAAAAGACTCACGTAGTTTGTGAGTTTGCAAGGGGAAATAAGAATATGGGTGATGCTTGTTGGATAATAGTCAAGAAATAGAAGTAGAACCATTGCAAAAATTGATTGATGAAAGAATATTCTATGAGCTTCTCATTAGTGCCTTGGCTTTCTAGCAGGGTCAGGGCTCTAAAACTCTTTTTAGAGCCACTCTTGCCCCATTGCAGTTGGAGTTTGGGATCAGAGAAGGAGGGGCTTCTATATTAGTCAGCTTTCTTGACACCAAGACACAATACTTGAGATCCACAACTTAAAGGAGGAATAGTTTTTGCTCGTGGTTTTGAGGAATTAGGTCCAGCAGGCTCTAAGAGTGGAACATTAAGGCAGAAAGGCACAGTGGAGCAAAGCTGCTTAATTCACAGTGGTCAGGAAGCACAGCAGGGGAACAGTGCCCAAGAGGAAGAAGTCAGGGACCAGACATGACCCAAGGCTATGTCTCCATCCATCCAGACACACTCAGAAGTGTGTTACATCCATCCAATGGGTGAATCCCAAACCCATCAAGTTGACACATCACCCTAATCACCACATCCCACCCCCTGTTAACTTGATGCCAAAACACATCTCCTTAAATCATATTTAATCTACAAATAAAAACAATAACAAGTTCATAATTTGACCTAACAAAACAACTATCCCGCACATAACCAGAAATGGAACAATGCCTTCTGCAACAGTTCCAGAGCTTTTCAAAAGTCAAAATGCAACTCTGTTCTGAGACTCAAGACAAACTCTTAGCTGTGAACCTCTGTAAATCTAAAAAACAAGTTACATAATCCCAAGGTACAACGGCACAGTGTAAACATTTCTATTCCAAAAGGTAAGAATAAGAAGGTAGAAAAGAATCAGACCAAAATACGATGAAACCTAGCAGGGCAAATATTCTCTCCTGCAGCTCCATATCCAGCATCTGGGGCCAGTGGTAGTGAGACATGAGTTCCAGAGAGCTTAGCGAGCCCCGCCCTACAGCATTGCTGGTTGTAGTCCATACAGCCTCTCCCTGGGACTGGCTCCACTTTTGAACTGCAGCTTCCCTTGGCAGACTTTCCATTTCTTGGCATCTCCAATTCCCTGAGGTCTTCACTGTACCTTTGACATTCCACCCAAACAGCCACAGCTTTCTAGAGAAAAATGAGTTATCTTTTGCATTTCTCCAGCTCCTTCCTCCAAACACAGCCTCAGCTTCATTCTTATTTATTCATTCTCTGTATTTCTTAGGGATCCCCATCATGTTCATCTTCTGAATTCTGTGACATTGGTGGAGAACAGCTATTTGAAAACTACCATAGTGAACTGAGAAAGAAACAGATCTCAGCATTAGGTAGACATCTAATATTTTAGCTTAACTACCTACCTGCTGTGTGATTCTGTGCAAGTTACTTAACCTTTCTGAGTCTCAGTGACCTTTTCTGTAAGTAAACACTAATAGTACCTGTCTCAGGAGAAATATACATCCAACAATTGGCTTACAGTATGAATTTTGTAAAAGGGAGCTTTTATTTTTTAAAGTCCTGTTTTTGCTTTTCATACACTAAAAGGAATAGGAGATGCGTATTTTGCTGCTCAGTATTTAATGGTGTGTAAAAACAACTCTGAAAATGCTGTTTTATTTATTTCCAGAGGATGAATAGAACTAGGTAGTTCAGTTATTGTATGTACGAGTGAACCTACCATTGCAGAGTTTGTGTTGGTAATTACTGAGTAATTGACCAAGTTCCCATACTTCAGTCTCACCCAACCATTAAGAAAGCTGATTGATTTAGGCCATCTGTAATGACTGAATTGAGTTGACTGCTCTGGATTTAATCAGCTGATTACCCATCACAACAGCTGGGATGAAATGATCCATCATAAGTCAGACTTCCAAATCATTAATTCATTTGACCCTACAGAAGCACAGTTTCTTTCCCTGTCACGATCTAGGTAGCAAGGACAGTGAGCATACCAGTCCTGGCCCTGGAATGAGAGAGGGGACTGACACAACAAGAGGCACTGAGCCAGAGGGAGCTGAGGCTGCTGGAGAGGCCCTGCAATTGTCAACAGCAGAACCAGGGAGAAGCTGGAGGAGCCCAGGAAAGAGCCAGGCCTGTGGGTCCTGAGTAAGCTCAGCTCAGTGACAGGATGTGGTATCAGGTAGTGAAGAAACACTGTAGCAGGTGGGGAGAGACCATGTACAGGGACAGACCCTGCAGAGCGAGAGATCTGTGACTGCAAGTATGTAGATGCTAAAGCACC